CGGCGGCTACAGGAGGCAGGAGAGCGGGCTCCGCCCCCCAGCAGCCACGGTGGCCCCAATGGCGCAGCCGGCGAGAGAAGTTGTGAGGACGCCGACCTGGCAACCTAAGGGGGGCCACAAGAGGAGGCGCACGTGATGGGACGCGGGGGAGTGGATAGAGGACGCGTCGATGGTGTCGAACGTGCCCACTGTTCCCCCCCACCCTTCGGTTGAAGGGATGGGTGATGATGTTGCTTTTGTTGATGTATATAATTAAGAGTTGGCTCCACCTGACTTTGTCAAAAAAGAGCCCCTTTTCCATAATATGTCCGAGAGCGTTCATATCTCACCCTCTCTCTCTTACCACTCTGAGTGCCGTTCAGCCCACCAGGGGTGTATTGCTGAACAGACACACAGGGTAGGTATAGACAACACTTCATGTATAAGGAGTGTCTCACATAGCAACCACTATTCGGGGATGGCGCACTATCTCAGACTAAGGTCTCTGATAGTGCGATTCAGACCCATGCTGCGTTCACGGAGGGCCTGATTACAACGGTTACAGGGGTAACCAACGTATCGGCGCCCCCATTTCTCAAAGAACGCGCCGATGCTCACCACACTGAATGTAGCTCAGCCCACCAGAGGTGCAGAGCTGAGCACACACAGAGGGTGAAGGTCAAGAGGGTATCAAGGCGCCGCCTTGTGTTACCTTATAGAGACCTCACATTACAGACTCCTAGGAGTATTGTAGTGAAGGGCTCTCATAGCGAACTGCAGTCACAGCCAGATTCTGGAATGATGACGCAATCGCTGTCTGGGTTTGGTGCTCTGTCGCAGGCTGTGGCCTCGGTCAGTGCAGTTCAGACCCGCGCTGCGTTCACGGAGGGCCGGAATACGATGGTTCCATCGGACCACACCCCCATTCAAGGGAGTGGTGGAGACGGTGATGAAAACGCCTGAAAAAGTGGCTGCTCTGGTTTCAGAGATTACGGAACTTTTGGCGAAGGAGGCGGTCACAGTAGTTCCCCAGGAGCAAAGGAACAAAGGGCTGTATTCGCCCTACTTCCTGGTGCCCAAAAAGACGGGGGGAATGAGGCCGATATTGGATTTACGCATTCTCAACGAGAGCGTAACCAAACGGCCCTTCCAAATGCTCACGACAAAACGTCTACTGGAATGTGTCCAGAAAGGAGACTTTTGTACAAGCATAGACCTAAAGGACGCGTACTTTCATGTGCCGGTGCAGCCGCGTCACAGGAAGTTTCTGCGATTCGCCTTTCAAGGGGTGGCGTACGAATACACGAGGATGCCATTCGGGTACGCCCTGGCACCTCGCACGTTTTCCAAGTGTGTGGAGGCGGCATTGGAACCGTTGGATCGTCAGGGAATAAGGCTACTAGCCTACCTAGACAATCTACTGGTTCTCGCCCCGTCAGCAGAGCTGGCGTTCACTCACACCACACAGTGATTCATCTCACACGTCTGGGGTTCGCTGTGAATTGGAAAAAGTGTGCGCCCTGGCCCAGTCATCAGATTGTCTACCTGGGGATACAGCTAGACACTGTAATGATGAGGGCTCGAATTTCGGACCCTCGAAGGGTAGCCTTGTTGCTAGCCCTGAGGAAGTGTCGTCCGAATCACACGGTAACGGCGCTGTCTATCATGTCACTCTTGGGTCTCATATCGTCAGCCCATTCTGTGGTTCCGCTGGGACTCCTGCACATGCGCAGGATGCAGCGATGGTTCGCCCAACTAAGACTAGACCCAGTGCGTCAACGTCATCGGTTGGTGGTGGTTCCCCTTTCGCTCAGTGCAGATCTGAACTATTGGAGAAACCCGCGCGTTCTCACGCACGGAGTCTCGATAGGCAAAGTGTCCTCCTACATTCCAGTGTATACAGATGCCTCTCTGACTGGATGGGGAGGGACATGTCAGACCCAAGCGATAGGAGGTGTGTGGCCTCTTTCGAGTCGCCACATCAACCTCTTGGAGTTGGAAACGGTTCGACTGGTTCTGACCCACTTCGCGTCTACCCTTCGGGGTCGCGATGTGCTGGTCTGGTCAGACAACCGGACCACAGTAGCTCACATAAATCGCCAGGGAGGATTCAGGTCTCCTGCTCTCCACCGGGCGGCAGAGGAATTGTGGCTGTGGGCTCACGAGCACCTTTGCTCATTGAGAGCAGCACACATTCCGGGCTACTTGAACGTAGGAGCAGACCTCATGTCGCGAGGGGGTCCTCGAGACGACGAGTGGTGTCTGCATCCGGACATTGTTCTAAAAATTTGGGAACAGTTCGGGAGAGCCGAGGTGGATCTATTCGCGTCCCCTATGGTTCTCTCTGAGGGAACAGGACGAACCGCCACTGGGAAGAGACGCATTTGCGCACCACCCGTGGCCGAGAGTTCTTCTGTATGCATTCCCTCCGCTGTCCTGCATTCTCCCACTGTTAGCCAGGGTGAGATCAGGAGGGCTGTCAATAATATTGATAGCCCCCGATTGCCCAGGGGCTCCATGGTTTGCGGAGATGAGTCAGATGTTGATTGCGCCACCTTGGCCAATTCCACATCGACGGGACGCATTGTCTCAGGCGGGGGGTTCGATAGGGCAATTGCCCATAATCTGCCAACCACTGAAGGCTTGGCTCCTGAGAGGGACAGGCTAGAGCGCCGTGGGTTATCTGATGCAGTGATCAGGACCATACAGGGTTCACGTGCCAGTTCCACTTCCAGGATGTATGCCAGTAGATGGAAAGTTTTTCACGGTGGTGTGTCACACAGGGTGTAGACCCCATGAGCTGTCAGGTTGAGAGTGTTCTCTCTTTCCTGCAGTTTATGTTTGATAAGCAGCGATCGCCCGCCACCATTAAGGTGTTTGCAGCGGCGATTTCAGCTTGTCACGAGGGGTTTGGCAGAGACAATGTCTTCAGCCACCCTCTAGTGAAACGTTTCTTATTGGGAACGCGGCGGCTTAGGCCAACGCCTAGAGCCACGCTTCCTCAGTGGGATTTGGCTTTGGTACTCGAAGCGCTATGTAAATCGCAGTTCGAGCCATTTAATCAAATACCCCTCAAGATGCTGTCTTTGAAGACAGCGCTGTTGCTCGCTTTGACTACTGCTAAGCGTGTCAGTGATTTGTGTGCTCTTTCGACGAGACCGACTGCCTTGCCATTAATGGCGATCTGAGCAGAGCGGTGTTACGTCCTAACCCGGCATTTGTGCCGAAGGTTATTAAGAGCTCATATAGGTCACAGACCGTGGAGCTGTGGGCTTTTTCTCCCCCTCCTCATAGGGAGAGGAGTGAGGAAAGGCTCCATCGCCTGTGCCCAGTGCGCGCTTTGGCGTGTTACGTTGAGCGCACAGCAGCGATTAGGTCATCGCCTCAGCTGTTTGTATGTCACGGTGCGGCTGCACTAGGTAGACCACTTTCAAAACAGCGCTTGTCTCATTGGCTTTGTGAAGGCATTGAGACAGCTTATGAGGCAGCGGGTGACAATTGCCTCAGGGTATAAGAGCTCACTCCACTCATGGAGTAGCAGCTTCTACTGCCTTTCTCAGAGGAACAGGGGTAGAGGATATATGTAGAGCGGCGTCATGGTCGACACCGTCTCCATTTATTAGTTTCTATCTCTTGGATATGTCTTCTAACTCTTTGGCTCAGTCTGTACTCAGCGTGGCTGAAGGGAGGACTTGAGCTAGGAGAGAGGAATGCAGGACTGAGGAGACAGGTCTCTTTCAGGTCTGCTTCTGATGGAAGGACATATTGGTATGATGAGGGAGAATAGTAGTATCCTTGGTTACAGTACTATTTGACCGGTCGTGATAATTTTGACGGAATGTGACGTCATCTATCTGCTTGTTCAGATTAGTATGAATCATGTTCTGGGATCTGCCCACTAATCTATGGATTTCCATTGATTGAGTGAGGCGGCCTACCGTGTACACAATGTAGAGTGACACTTTGTGTCATTCCATTCGTGGTCGGTATTATTGTGTCAGGATATTGAGTACCATCTATCTGCTAGTACAGATTAGTATGGTTTATATTCTGGTGATCTGCCCACTAGTCACTGGTGTTGCCATTGGACTAGGTGGGGCGGGTTTATAACTGATGACGCAGTATATTGTGACACTTGTATTGTCATACAGTGGTTGCAGTACTGCGGGACTTGGTTGCAGCCATTGTTAGGCCTGACCTTTTTGTCGGGCTCGGCAGGGAGTACATTTTGGAGCGCTACGCTCCGCCTTAAACCAATAGGAGCAGAGCTCCCCTATGAGGCGGAGCTCCACGATATAGAACGATTAGTTACCGGAGTGTAACTCCAGTTCTATGAGTGGAGCGGAGCCCCATAGGACTTAAGGCCCTGCCGACCCTCTCTAGTCTCGCTGAAGATAAATATCTCGGGAGGCTGATTGAGGGGAGGCATCCCCTCTTATAGGGACACCTGTACTCCTATTGGCTGCAGGTGTGTGCATAATTTTGTCTCAGGCTGATACTGCCTTAGGGCAGTGGGTAAACCAATAGGAGCAGAGCTCCCCTATGGGGCTCCGCTCCACTCATAGAACTGGAGATACACTCCGGTAACTAATCGTTATGCACTGGTGGACAGATCAATAACATGCCTTCTACTGTGTTCGCTAGCTCCTCTGAACAGTGTCCTGATGAGTGAGCATATTCTCTATGCCAGGCGAGTGTCGCCCCATTAGCTCAATGTTATGGATGTATCCAAATAAATGACACTAGAAAACAGCTTAAACAAATGCAAATGCAGCTACTTTGCTGTTATTCTGGCGGAACTTTTTGACGTGACTGTAAATTAGCCGTAGTTGGCTAGCTAGCAAGCAAGGGATAAGAACATTGCCAGCCAGTATGGCAATGGAACATTTAGAACGAACGACTGGGTCGCTCGTGTCTCTAGCAACCCTAGATTTGTGTCAGCACTATATCTTGTGGAAGGAATAAATAGTACAAATAAATTAATCAAAATAACGTTTAATGAAAATGTCAATCATTATTTGAATATGTTGGTAACCCCTTGTATAAAAGTGATAATGCCCTCTTAGCCGGTGTATATATATATTGGCACGGTTTGTCAGCCCTCGACTTCATCTTGGGCCTAAGAACACCCGTGTCAATATATCCAACAAACACCGGCTTCTCGGGCATTATCACTTACCTGTGTTATCTAGTGACGACCCTAAAAATGGATGCAGAGTCAAGAATCGAACAGCGTATTTGACAAAAAATCAAATCCTTATCCTTAAGTGTAAAATTACATTAAACAAACACCTCTCATCCACACAAATACACTTTGCTTAGCTTACTAAAAACTCAGAAAATGTATTTGTATGGTCTCTGAATTCAGGAGAGCAGACCCAGCTTTAGCTGCTCAGGTGGATCATCAGTCCTATCTCCTTGGCTCTCTGTCCATAGGCCTACACTTAAGAGTGTCTCAACCTTAAATCTCTGGACCTCGATCTGTGGGATGTATCTCATCAGTCCATAAGCAAGTTACTGTAATTAGCTCTCAAGTTGTAGTTTTCATTTAAAGGTACAATCTGTAAATTCAATGTCCTGTGACAAGTGTCAGCCTGACATTTTGGGAGGACTTAGGGTAGTGAGGGGGTATGGGCATCTGCAAGTGTACCCGCCAAATAAGAGGGGAAACGTGCACTCATTGGACTAGAACAGAATTGGCATACATGTTCTTATTTCTGTATGTGTGTGTGATTTGTTTCTGGTTGATTGGCTTTGTATTTCCTCTCATTGCCACAAGGGACAAAATAACTTGGGTTGCGCCTTTGAGGGAGTAGGACCATTGCATGCCAGTCCCTGGTACTACAAAAAGGTTGAGAAACAATGCTTTAAGAAGGGGTTGTGAAGGGTTTGATGAGGCCGAGGTCCATGGCCTTGACCAGGCAGGTGCGTGCCACATCGATTACAATCTGCCTCTTGGGGTTGTCCATTGCTTTGCCAATTACTGTCAGGATCTCCAGGATCTCACTCTCCATCAGCTTCTTGGCCAGCTCGTTGTCTTCCGAGTTCAGCATGTTGTACACGATCACAAGGCCTCTGTGCTGGATCTGGGGCTGATCATGGAGAATCAGCCTCTGAAGGATCTCCATCCACTGCAATGTCTGTGGCGAGAACCGAGAAAAGATTGGTCTGTCAGTCAAATGATTACAAGCGCTTTACATCTGACAAGTGATGACGTGGCTGAGGTCTCATAATGATTAAACATATTAATTAGGTAATATACACTGAGTGTACAAAATATTAGGAACACCTGCTCTTGAAGGCTATGATCCCTTATAGATGTCACTTGTTAAATCCACTTCAATCAGTGTCGATGAAGGGGAGGAGACAGGTTATTGATTAGGTAATATATAACTACATTCCCTGTTGTGATTATACATTAATTTGGTAATATATAACTATAATTAGTATCGAGATGATTCAGTGTGGTGATTAAATTAGGATCTTTGTACAGGAACTGCCCTTGGGTCACACCAAAGTGAGTGTAGTGTGAATGCAACCGGACAGACGTACCACCAGGGTCATCTTGGTGCACAACTTCTTCTGGGCAGCGGTGAGCATGGCCAGGCCTCCGGCTGCAGCTCTCTGGAGCTTTTCATTGTCCTCAACACACATCAGCACCAGCAGCTTCAGCCTATCATTCCCATCCTCCAGGTACCGATCCTGCACCTGGAATACACCACACACAATGATGACGTTACACTGGGTGACAAGTTTGTTACATACACACACACTAAGTGATGACATTGTTCCCTAAGAGTGATGGGGTGCCCTCTTACCTCTTTGCACGTCACCAGGTTGCACATGCACTCTGTGGCTGCCTGTCTGATATGGTCATGGTCTTCAAACATGTACTGCTCAATCTCAGGGAGAGCCTTCTCTTTCAGGATCTTCACTCTGGAGCCGTGGAGGATGGGAGGAAAGAGTTAATGAATCAGGCAACCATCTCATCTCCTCCACTCAAAACGGTTTGGCAGCAACAGTGAAAAAAACTAAATGAACTCCGGAAAGTCCCCAGAGCATATCTTAGTCCATAGTTGTTTCCTGTTTAGTGCCATATGAATAAACACACTTATCCTCTCACACCTCTCTATTACCTTATATTGATTGTTGAATTGTCTAATTAATCTGTAATAGTCTCTGGTGTTTTGTTGGGTTATACATACATACTGTGGTGTGGTTGGTAAACTAACAGACCTTACCTCAGTTTGTCGTTGAGACCAGCCAAGTTGGTGAGACTCAGAAGTGCCTCGTAGTTCTGCACCCCATCTCTCTCAGGGTGCAACAGGCTGACCAGAGGACGCACCACCTCATAGATCTGTCAGAGAGAGAGATGACAAGGCATGGTGGAGGAGGGAGGGAGGGTAAAACAGGAAGCCGAAAGAGAGGGACATAGTAAGAAAGGATAGGAAGGACAGAGAAAGAAGAATAAAGATGAGTTGAAAAAGTATGTGTTTTACTGAATGCAAGACAGCTAAAATATGTATGAGTCAATTCCCTTTCCCAAACCAGCCCACACCCTTTCTCCCACGTAACAGGAAGTGGTCAGACAGGTTCCTACCCTCTCTCCGGGGAAAGCGATCTCTGGGTTGGAGACAGCAGCGATCTTGGCCAGGGCGTGGGCGGCCCTTATTTTCCCTATAGCTGATCCCTCCAGAGCCAATGGGATCAAAGCCTGGGGATCACACAGCAAGAGATCAGTGGTTCAGACACAGACCCACACACACGCTTCAACTTTTACTGTGACATTACAACATACTCTAGCCCAGGGGCCATCAACCCTGTTCCTAGAGTACTGCAGGATATTGCCCCAACTAGGCACCACACCAGACCAACTGAGCAAATTTATCAGACTAAATTCAACACACCTGGTCTTCCAGCTTGGTTAAATCAAAAACATGAAATGCCTGCGGCACTCCAGGACCAGGGTTGTCTAACCCTGCTCTAGCCTACATGTGACTATGGTGGCCAGACACCACTTGACTGTTCCAAGCTCGAACCACAGTTTAGTTTTAACTATGACACCTCATAGATGTCTTGAAAAGATAACGTTTTCTCAATAGTCTGAAAACTACTGGTTAAATAAAAGTAATAAATCAAATGTACATTTAGACTGCGTTATAGATTATATTAGAATGGAGAATCTTGTGTTGTGTCTGTCACTCACCTTGCCCCCTCCATGGGCGCAAATAGTGCCACGGTCTTTGGGATCATCTGCCAAGGCAAGGAACACCCTGCAAATCAAAGCAAATACCAATTATTTGAATGAAATTTGTTCTGCAGTATTGCTAATTGCATGTACTGACTGGATAACTATTAGTATTTTATTAGGATCCCCATCAGCTGTTGCTGAAGCAGCAGCTACTCTTCCTGGGGTCCACACAAAACACAAAACATGACATAATACAGAACATCAATAGACAAGAACAGCTCAAGGACTGAACTACACATATTTAAAATAAGAACAATAGAACCAAAAAAGGTCCTGCTGACACAACACAGAGAAACAGAGAGACTCATTACTCTAGGCCTACATCCAAATACATTCATTATTACATTTCCATTTTTATATATTCCATTCACATTCAGTAGCATCTATCAGTTACACACATACATACATACATACATACATCAGTGCATATGCATATACACCGAGTATACAAAACATAAAGAATACCTGCTCTTTCCATGACATAGACTGACCAGGTGAATCCAGGTGAAAGCTATGATTCCTTATTGATGTCACTTGTTAAATCCACTTCAATCAGTGTAGATGAAGGGGAGGAGACACGTTAAATAAGGATTTTTAAGCCTTGAGACAATTGAGACATGGATTGTGTATGTGTGTCATCCGGAAGTTGAATGGGCAAGACAAAATATTTAAGTGCCTTTGAACGGGGTATGGTAGTAGGTGCCAGACGCACCAGTTTGTGTCAAGAACTGCAACGCTGCTGGGTTTTTCACACTCGACAGTTTCCTGTGTGTATCAAGAATGGTCCACCACCCAAAGGACATCCAGTCAACTTGACAACTGTGGGAAGCATTGGAGTGAACATGGGCCAGCATCCCTGTGGAACGCTTTCGACGCCTTGTAGAATCCATGCCCCGACGAACTGAAGCTGTTCTGAGTGCAAAAGGAGGTGCAACTCAATATTAGGAAGTTGTTCCTAATGTTTGGTATACTAGTTTATAAGAATGTCTGTGACATAGCTAAATGCTCGAGCCTAGTACAGTCCCAGGTTGCTCACCTTGCCAGCATCTCTTTGGTCTGGTCAGTCAGGAGAAGGTTGTCTGCTTTCACCATGACAGTGAGAGCTGAGATGACTCCTCCCTTTAGCATCCTCTTCACTCTCTTCTGGATGAAATCTTTCTTGTCCTAAGGGCAGAGAAGTGTGTGTATAGTCAGCATCTCCCTCAGTTAATATACAGTACCTAGGGCCTCACAATAAAAAATATATAACTTTGCTTACAGTAGAGAGCAGCATAGTCACATTTATATATCCTTTATACTAGTTTAGTTTACAGTGCTTAATGACATTAGAGTGACTAGTTCTGTTCTGTCCTGACATAAGGATGACTTGTTGTAGAGTTCTGCCCACCGGACAGACAGAGGGAGGCCTGTGTCTTTGTCTTATCTTACCTTGGGGTGCTGCTCGGGGACGTGCTGCTTGGAGAACTTGGCCAGCTGAACCAGCTCAGGCATGATGTCTTTCTTCTCATAGCTGTTGGTGCAGTTGACCAGGGTACAGGCCACAGCATACAGGATGGTCTTATCTTTAGACTGTGTCACAGGGAAGAGGGAAGATTAATACTCTCCTCCAGGTCACATATGCACACTTTAATGCCACTATGCTCATGTTATGCGCTATGAGTTGTGTCTATCCTCTGTCTTCAATAGTACAGTACCTACCTTGGCCAGGTCAAACATGGCTTTCATGGCAGGCTCGTCCTCAACAAAGTCATCCTTTACGTCAGCGTCTTGGGTCAAGTAGGCCAGACCTTCTATAGCCCACTTCCTGGTCCTCGTGTCCATGGCAGAGTTACACAACCACCTGACACACACAGGAAGAGTGTTAACAGGGAACAAGGCTAACAGAAAATGATCCTTCATCTTGAGATTATGATCATGGGAAACTATTTCAAAATCCCTCTGAGGGAATATAATGATGTCTTTGCAGCTCAAACATAAGGGTACAGCTCTGTACACAATCTATTACTCCTGATATTTGTAGTCCATAATACTTTTGAAAAAGAGCCTGTGATAGACTGTAGGTCAATTAATACCTCAGAGTATTAACACCAAAAGGTTACACAACAGCAGCTACATCGTCAGAGCTACCAGCCACAAAACCACTCACTTCCTACATTGCTTGGCCAGTTTCTCAGTGGAGCCTTCAGCAAACTGCCTCATACTATAGTCATCTCCACCTGCTGAGCCCAGCTTACACAGACCCTGGGGAAAGGGACACACACACAATATTGAGTTCATTAACTTGTAAGGAAAGTTACAGTTAGATCAATCTGAAGAGTCCCTGTAATGTTTTCAAACATGAAGAACTATCAAAATGTCCATTCTATTCCATCTTTCCATAGTATGGAAATTTAAAGCTCGCTCACCACCAGCGCACGGATTTTGATCTTATCGTTCTTCGTCTTCTTGTAGATGTCTTTGAGCAGCGACACGCCGTTGGTGATGATGAATGAGGCGCGGCTCATCTTGGTCGAGGAGTGGATCAGTGCTTCCACGGCAACCATCTGGTCCACCTCACGCTCGGAGCCGCACAGCGCCACCATCATCTCCATGATGCCCTGGCGACCCACCAGCTGGTTGCCCACCTCGAAGGGGCCCTGCAGCAGTCCTGACAGAGCATTGATGGCGTGGATGTTCCTGTCCATATCGTTGGGGTCAAACTTGCCTCTGTGGAACGGGTCATGGTCAGGTGGAGCAGGGTTAAGGATAGATGAGGGAGGAGGGAGGAGGTCAGGGATAAATGTTACAGTCAGTTAATTTAGTACTCATCCTCACTGTCAACTCTATAGTGCTGTTAGATACTTCCCCTGTTGTAACATTACTCATGATGTATGCGTGCATCACAGATATCTCTTAATGTCTCTATGATGTTATTCTCATTAGATATGCTACTCGTATGTTGCTGTTATGTTACTAATGTGTAACTCACTTGATGTACTCGTCACAGACTTCCCTATAGTTGTCTCTCTCGGGGTCGCAGCGCAAGTCGTCCCAGAGCTTGTCGAGCAGCACGCTGGCGATGAGCTGAGTGTTCTCTGTCATGGGCAGCTGGTCTGGGAGGTCAGGTATCTGGCCACACACCTTCAGGATCTTCTTCAGACCTGGTGGGGGTTGGGGGTTGGGGGTGGGGGGGGGGGGGGTTCACAAAGCAATATGAATGGCAACTTTCCTACATTAAGTTAATACTCTCAGTACTCCATATTTAATACAAACCATAAAATAATGTTTTTCTCAAGAACAAGACATAAGCCCACAACTGACATAAACAGTGTAGAACTATATCATAGGCCTACTTAGTGTCACAGATCATGGTCAAAGCTACAGTTAACCACTCACCGTGGTCGATAGTAAAGAGGCTCTTGGAGTGGTCAGGGTCTTTCTTGTCCTTGCGAGGCACGTTCCTGCTCAGCAGGTTCAGGGCCTGGTCTCTGCCGTGTCCTGAAACCTTCTTACTGGCAACCATCTCCAGCAGGGCCATCAGGATGCTTTTCAAGTCCTTGCTTGCATCTGCAGGGGAGCAGAGAAAGTGTCAGACCAGTTGTATTAAGCGTTTATAAAACACAAACAAGATTAGAATGATGAGACCTTCAAAATCTGTTTATATAGCTGATTGATGCTATTCAGAGGCAATTCAAGTTAGGTAAAAAGCACTACATGAATGTATATAAATGTAGGGCTTTAACTGAAACAGGTTAGGAATGCAGGAATGTGAGTGGATGTCTCACCCAAAATCAGGGCTTCCTCCTTCCCATAAATCCTCCGGTCTCCTCCAGTGAGGGAGTCGTTGATGCACTGGAACAGGTCACAGGTTGCCAAGGCGATGTCCTCGTTGTCGACGGCCATGATGCTGCACAACTTGTCTATGCCCACCAGGTGGATAATGGCCATGGCCTGTTCAGAGACAAACATACAGGTCAACTGAGTGTACAAAAGGGGACTATGGCTAGACATTACAATAGCAACTTTGAAAATGATCCATATCTGTCTGGAAGGACCAGAAATTGTGAGGATCAGAAGTACTTGAGGTTCCCCTTTTATCCCCTTCTCACAGAACCTCTTATGCACCTCTATGTCTTCCCCTGCCCCTCACCCGAGCTTTGTGTCCAGTGCACATTCCTGCGAAGGTGCGGATAGCGGCCAGGACCATCTCTACTTTTCCGGTCTCAAGCAAATCCAGCAGCAGAGGCACTCCGTTGTTCTGGAAGATTCTCTCTGCGCCAGCTTCTTCTCTGGCCAGAACCACCAGGTTGTTAGCAGCCTACATGGGAAGAAAATATTATTCATATTGCCATTAAAGTTACACACATTGCATTTGATATCAGACTGTAAAAAATTAAAGACCACAGCATTATGCTTATTACAGTAAGTTGAATCAATGGAACTGATCTCTACTATGGTGTCATACAAACCTTCTCCTTCTTGTCCTTGTCCATCTCCTCATCAAGCAGAATGTCAAACATGTTCTGAACCCGTGAGTCTGTGGAGAAGGTTGTCTTCAGCTGTAGACAGAGAGCGAGAGAGATACAGTTGAAGTTGGAAGTTTCCATACACTTAGGTTGGAGTCATTAAAACTTGTTTTTCAACCAATCCACAAATGTCTTGTTAACAAACTATAGTTTTGGCAAGTCGGCTAGGACATCTACTTTGTGCATGACACAAGTAATTTTTTCCAACAATTGTTTACAGACAGATTATTTCACTTATAATTCACTGTATCACAATTCCAGTGGGTTAGAAGTTTACATACACTAAGTTGACTGTGCCTTTAAACAGTTCGGAAAATTCCAGAAAATGATGTCATGGCTTTAGAAGCTTCTGATAGGCTAATTGACATCATTTGAGTCAATTGGAGGTGTACCTGGGGATGTATTTCAAGGCCTAACTTCAAACTCAGTGCCTCTTTGCTTGACATCATGGGAAAATGAAAAGAAATCAGCCAAGACCTCAGAATAAACATTGTAGACCTCCACAAGTCTGGTTCATCCTTGGGAGCAATTTCCAAATGCCTGAAGGTACCACGTTCATCTGTACAAACAATAGTACGCAAGTATAAACACCATGGGACCACGCAGCCGTCATACCGCTCAGGAAGGAGACGTGTTCTATCTCCTAGAGATGAATGTACTTCGGTGCGAAAAGTGCAAATCAATTCCAGAACAACAGCAAAGGACCTTGTGAAGCTGCTGGAGGAAACAGGTGCAAAAGTATCTATATCCACAGTAAAACGAGTCCTATATCGACATAACCTGAAAGGCCGCTCAGCAAGGAAGAAGCCACTGCTCCAAAACCGCCATAAAAAAGCCAGAATACGGTTTACAACTGCACATGGGGACAAAGATCGTACTTTTTGGAGAAATGTCCTCTGGTCTGATGAAACAAAAATAGAACTGTTTGGCCATAATGACCATCGTTATGTTTGGAGGAAAAAGGGGGTAGATTGCAAGCCGAAGAACACCATCCCAACCGTGAAGCGCGAGGGTGGCAGCATCATGCTGTGGGGGTGCTTTGCTGCAGGAGGGACTGGTGCACTTCACAAAATAGATGGCATCATGAGGAAGGAAAATTATGTGGATATATTGAAGCAACATCTCAAGACATCAGTCAGGAAATTAAAGCTTGGTCGCAAATGGGTCTTCCAAATGGACAATGACCCCAAGCATACTTCCAAAGTTGTGGCAAAATGGCTTAAGGAAAACAAAGTCAAGGTATTGGAATGGCCATCACAAAGCCCTGACCTCAATCCTATAGAAAATGTGTGGGCAGAACTGAAAAAACGTGTGCGAGCAAGGAGGCCTACAAACCTGACCCAGTTACACCAGCTCTGTCAGGAGGAATGGGCCAAAATTCACCCAACTTACTGTGGGAAGCTTGTGGAAGGCGTTTGACCCAAGTTAAAGAATTTAAAGGCAATGCTACCAAAAAATAATTGAGTGTATGTAAACTTTTGACCCACTGGGAATGTGGTGAAATAAATAAAAGCTGAAATAATCATTCTCTCTACTATTATTCTGACATTTCACATTCTTAAAATAAAGTGGTGATCCTAACTGACCTAAGACAGGGTATTTTTACTAGGATTAAATGTCAGGAATTGTGAAAAACTGAGTTTAAATGTATTTGGCTAAGGTGTATATAAACTTCCGACTTCAACTGTAAGTCCCAGATAAGTACTATAATTTGTGTTTTTTATGTCTAGTTCATAAGTCAATAAAATATTATAATCACATAGTCATCTATAAGTAAACCAATGGATCGTATCTAAACTGTCCAGTGGGTAGCAAACCTTGGCTTGGATCTCAGCCCCCAGCCTCCTGAGGGTCTCCAGGAAGGTCTTGTTTTTGGGCTCGATGGTGGAACACCTCTGGACGTCTTTGAAGGCCATGTCCAACTTGCCCAGCTTCTCCAGAGCCTGGCAGCGCCGGAACAGGGCTTTGACGTCTGCTGCATCTACGTCAATGGCTGTTGGAGAGCAGAGAAGTATACAAGTGTCTAGGTTGAAGTGAAAATATCACTGTGGCATGAGGATAATCCATTATTTGTCATGTTATGTTATGTGACAGTGAGCAATGAGCATGGCAAAAAAAACGTAATTGGCTGTGTTTTGATTCTTGTTTATGTACTAAACATTTAGTAGACTGTACCGTACCTTTGGAGGCATCGGAGGCTGCATTGGTGTAGCTTTCCTGAAAAGGAAACAAAGGGCGTTCAAAAACATCAGAGGATCAGGAAATCACACCCAGGGATAATTATTAATAATAATAGAACTATTCCGTTTTTGCCTGTGGTTTAGGTGAGGTGTTTACCTTTTTCAGGAAACAGGCTGATCTGTTCCTGTAGACAACGGCGAGAACCTTTTTGTCCGTGGACAACTTGATGGCTTTAGTGTAACACTCGATGGCCTTATCCACCTCACCGGCTTGGAAATGCTTGTTCCCCTCTTCTTTGAACTGGATTGGATCTGCCATCTCACCCATCTGGTGAGGAGAGGAGAAGTTGTAGCTCAAAACGCTAAACATATTGGTTAGAATTCAGTTGGATTTTTTTTTTCAGGTTTCGGGTTTGACTTCTTGAACATCAAAGCCAATTAATGACTGGTACTTACAAAGTAAACAGAACATGTTTCTGGAATATTCCATTACTCTTCTAACACTATACATTGAACATGTACAGTAGCTATATATACTTAATAACACATTAATTAACTTTAAAACAAATTGCAGCCCATTCTAAATCTGGAAGAATAGCAATGTGTTACCAAATATAACCCTGTTCCTGGTAGATTGTTTAACTTTACAACCACTCAAAGGAAACAAGTCAAGAAAAATGCCAGCTAAAACATGATCATTTTGACAAGGTTTCCATTCATTGTGAATTCATCAAAATAAATATATTCACACCATGACTCAAATTTTAAGTCAGCATGAGCGATGTACCACATTTCCTAAAAATGATAAACAAATTACAGAAAAGATAACATTCTATGAAAAACTGTTACTCTTCTTACCATTTTCACTATGTCTCCCTCTGACCTGAGTCCCCTTTAGCAAATGGCCCAGCACATGTTATCTCTAACTTGAAATGGCCTCCCCTCATACCTTATTTGGGCATCATTCTGCACCCCAGTGGGGGCCTTACCACTGATACGATCATCCTAATGGACAGACGGCTCCCTGCCACTCCACCACTCCTGATAGACAATCACCATGCCCCTCTCCCCTGGCCTGAGAGCCCCTGGCAGGCAAGCATGTCACTCAAGACCTTGTACACTCAAGACGTGTCCCTTAGAGCCATACGGTACCTTCAGGATTGTGTGATTGTGTCGTTTCCTCTCTTCTCTTCTCATCCCTTGCTTGGGTTTAGTGTTGAGCTTCACTGCATGATTGTTGCGCTGTCAACTTTTTTTTTATATTAATGCAACTCCCCCTCCTTCACAATTTATATTTATACTGAATCTCAATGAGGTGGGCCAGAACCAGGGTGGGTCTATTTTAAATAAGGGATAGGGGTCTACTCTACACAGAGCAGACACTTGTTGGGAGAATTGTACACTGAATTCCCACATTTAACATTGGTTTGGGTTTGTTACAATGCCTCATTGCTTTTATAACAACATTCCAATGTAGAATCTTTCAAATAACTGCATAGTAGTTCCTGTTTTTGTTCTCTATTTGTACGTGATGACATAGGTAACCCCCTTGAAACATGGTCTGGTCCTGATATGGTCTATTTAAGGAATAAGTCGATGACAGCTGAGAACTCACCAGCAAATGCCTCTACAGCTCTAGTGAGGCGTGGGGCGGGTTGGGTGGAGTGGGGGGTCTGGCAGCCACTGACAGCTGTAGGAACATACAGAACGACCTGGCAGCTTCTAGAAAGAGAAAGCTAAAGCTAACCAGAAGTCCCCACAAGAATAGTAAACGAACAAAAATTGGGGACATTTTATTGGTCCCCACAAGGCCAAATGCTATTTCTAGGGGGTTTAGGGTTAAGGTTAGAATTACAGTCGTGGTCAAAAGTTTTGAGAATGACACAAGTATTGTTCTTCACAAAGTTTGTTGCTTCAGTGTTTTTAGATATTTTTGTCAGATGTTACTATGGTATACTGAAGTATAATTACAAGCATTCCATAAGTGTCAAAGGCTTTTATTGACAATTACATTAAGTTTACGCAAAGAGTCAATATTTGGAGTGTTGACCCTTCTTTTTCAAGACCTCTGCAATCCGCCCTGGAATGCTGTCAATTAACTTCTGGGCCACATCCTGACTGATGGCAGCCCATTCTTGCATAATAAATGCTTGGAGTTTGTCAGAATTTGTGGGTTTTTGTTTGTCCACCCGCCTCTTGAGGATTGACCACAAGTTCTCAATGGGATTAAGGTTTGGGAGTTTCCTGGCCATGGACCCAAAATGTCGATGTTTTGTTCCCCGAGCCACTTAGTTATCACTTTTGCCTTATGGCAAGGTGCTCCATCATGCTGGAAAAGGCATTGTTCGTCACCAAACTGTTCTTGGATGGTTGGGAGAAGTTGCTCTCGGAGGATGTGTTGGTACCATTCTTTATTCATGGCTGTGTTCTCAGGCAAAATTGTGAGTGAGCCCACTCCCTTGGCTGAGAAGCAACCCCACACATGAATGGTCTCAGGATGCTTTACTGTTGGCATGACACAGGACTGATGGTAGCGCTCACCTTGTCTTCTCTGGACAAGCTTTTTTCCGGATGCCCCAAACAATCGGAAAGGGGATTCATCAGAGAAAATGACTTTACCCCAGTCCTCAGCAGTCCAATCCCTGTACCTTTTGCAGAATATCAGTCTGTCCCTGATGTTTCTTCTGGAGAGAAGTGGCTTCCTCGCTGCCCTTCTTGACACCAGGCCATCCTCCAAAAGTCTTCGCCTCACTGTGCGTGCAGATGCACTCACACCTGCCTGCTGCCATTCCTGAGTAAGCTCTGCACTGGTGGTGCCCTGATCCCGCAGTTGAATCAACTTTAGGAAACAGTCCTGGCGCTTGCTGGACTTTCTTGGGCGCCCTGAAGCCTTCTTCACAACAATTGAACCTCTCTCCTTGAGGTTCTTGATGATCCGATAAATGGTTGATTTAGGTGCAATCTTACTAGCAGCAATATCCTTGCCTGTGAAGCCCTTTCTGTGCAAAGCAATGATGACGGCACGTGTTTCCTTGCAGGTAACCATGGTTAATAGAGAAAGAACAATGATTTCAAGCACCACCCTCCTTTTAAAGCTTCCAGTCTGTTATTCTAACTCAATCAGCATGACAGAGTGATCTCCAGCCTTGTCCTCGTCAACACTCTCACCTGTGTTAATGAGAGAATCACTGACATGATGTCAGCTGGTCCTTTTGTGGCAGGGCTGAAATGCAGTGGACATGTTTTTTGGGATTAAGTTCATTTTCATGGCAAAGAGGGACTTTGCAATTCATTGCAATTCATAGTGATCACTCTTCATAACATTCTGGAGTATATGCAAATTGCCATCATAAAAACTGAGGCAGCAGACTTTGTGAAAATTAATATTTGTGTCATTCTCAAAACATTTGACCACAACTGTAGTGGTAGGGTTAGAATTAGGTTTAGGGTTAGTGGCTAGGGTTAGTTTTAGGGTTAGGGTTAGGAGCTAGGGTTAAGGTTAGGGTTAGGGTAAGAGTACGGGTTAGGGTTAGGTTTAAGGGTTAGGGAAAATATGATTTTGAATGGGACTGAATTGTGTGTCCCCACAAGGTTAGCTGTACAAGACTGTATGTGTGTGTGTGTGTGTGTGTGTGTGTGTGTGTGTGTTTGTGAGTGTCAGACATGTTCTACAACTTTCTGGGTCTACTTGAAGGTGAACTCCAGTCCTGACTGATGTATTTAGAGTTGTTTTGTGTAGAATATCGAAGGGGGAAAATAGAAAGACTGTGTATATGCTCAACTGTCATTCAAAAATACACATCCTTTTATCAAAATCAAAACAAACAACAGATAGCTGTCAACAACTGTCAACAACAAGCAACTGTCTGTCCCTCAGAGTCTGGTTCTTCTCAAGGTTTCTTCCGACCTAGGGTTTTTTTCCTTGTCAACTGTGCCTCTGCATGTTCTCTGTGGGTTTTAGTTGGGTTATGGAAATGACAGCAATTGAATTGCACAACTTTGTTAGCAGACAAATGTAACAGACGTCCTCAGCCACTAAATAACGATATTTGCCATAATAAATGCACCATACACCTGCAAGTGGCAGATCAGTGGTGAAAATAAAATATTTTGCAGCCTACCATCACTGCCCTGTAGATGGCTTGCTGATTCAAGTTCTGCATCACAGCAGAGTAGGTTGGTACATTGAATGCCTGGTTATGCCGAGAGGCAGAGAATGAGACCTGTGTAACCAAGCCTACTCCTCTCTCAGTCAGTAGGCTACAGCATAAACTACGTTAAACAGGGATCCGCACACACAATTGCTCTCTCGTAAATATTGCCTACCCGGGACTGGAATACTCCCTTTAGTCCCACGGAAAGACAAGATCAACTTCAATCAATCGGGTCTACTTCGTTTCACAAACGAGGACGAACAGCTGGTAAGATTGAGGTGTTATTCATTATCTTGATACTTTTTTATTTACTTGTCCATTGAGCTATCGATTTGAAATTGAGAATATTGGTCAGGTGACATGACATGAGGATGACGTTAAAGCAATTGCTCGGCAAAGGTGTTTTTCTCAGTCGAAGAATCTGTCAGACTAATTAGTATTAATATTAATAGCAGAATACGCAGCTACCTCACGTCAACAGCTGGCAGTAAACCTTGCCAGACTGCAGCTGTATTCAAGGTAATCGGGGTGCACTTAAGTGTTTTCTTGTGCAGGCTATTGGCAATGAAGTTTCCTGGTGCTCTGTTCTCATCAACATTTAATTGTAGCCTATTAGTTAGTGGTGGTCACGGAATTGACTATTTTAGTAATTTAACACATCCTCGCCCTACTCTGAGAAACACAGTTTATTCGGAAAAGTGAAATTACGTAATATTGCGGGGAAGTGGCGCCTAGCTTGGGGTTAATTTGAAATATTGTGAGTTTGCGACATGTGAAAGCGGTCAGTTCTTGAACACTGCAGTTGCAAATTTACAATTGGTGATAAATCGCTGGACTGGTGCAATTCCACGGTTAGAGTGACGCTTACAGAATGACGGCACAAACCATCATTATTTTACCCAACTTTGCATCGGCACTAGTTCTTCAAGTAAATGTGTTTTTGTAAACGTTTCCGTGGAAATTGTTTAAAGTTGTCCTTGTGCATGGAGTTGTATGGTTTGAATTGCCGACCTCTTATTGATGATCACATAGGGTTTGTGCAGAATAGCCCATTTCTGTTGTTGATTTCTGGAAAATAAGCCTACCAATTTACTGAGACCCATTATTTTATCAACATTGGCTGGGTTGGAGACCTTTCTCATTGTTCCAAGGACAAGGACTCTGGGAAGCCTGGGGCATTTCAACACCTGGCATCCTCAGGGACACACAGTCTTGTTTAACTAATCTTGTGGGGACAAACAATTGATTCCCATTCAACATCCTATTTTTCCTAACCCCTAAACCTAACCCTAACCTTAACTCCAAAACCTAACCTTAAACCTAAACCTTGATCACACACACTCCTTTTGATTTCTCTGAAAATAATCACTACAGAATTTGAGCAATGCCTGTTCTTTTAATACCTGATGCAATTTAATTTGAAGGATCCATACCAATTTTTTGTATAAAACATTATGCACATTGTTTTCTATGTAACATCAAAATGCAAAAGGCTACTGAAACTGTCCTACTATTACTAACTCTATCAAAGCTGTTATTAACAGCTATTCTAGATGATATACAGTAGCTAGCTACTTTACTGTTGTGTGTTCATCGAGCCAGCATCTCAGTATAAATGTGATTGTAGTGTTAAGGTGTGTGTTTGACAAACAGTGAGGTTGGCTGCTGCCCTGGGCGCCAGTCAAATTTCTTCAATGTTTGTTTTAGTTTGTTTCCCACTTTGAGCTTCACTCATCAGCAGTACACATAATACTAGTCTACTGTTACTACAGTGACACGCTACATTAGCCTAGCACAGACTCATCAGTCTTGACTGTGTTATATGCAGGTTCCTGAGTTTTTCCTGACATAGCCTGAGCTAGTAGACTAGCCTATAACGAGGCCCTAGCCAAGCTTATTACTAAGGCACAGTTTTTCCTGGTAAGGTCACATGGTCAGGAACAACTCCTAGTTATGCTATATAAGCCAAACATATTTCCTCACTCCTCCTATTATCCATGTAGCAGCATGCTACATTTGCCTAGCATAAAGTAGCCTCACTGTCCAGCACATTACCAGTGCTCTTTGCAGTAGTGTGCTACATTCCTCCCCTGTGCTGAGAGCTCTTAGCAGGCCGACCCTCCCCT